TATGAAAGGGTCATAATTTTCAGTAGCATTTTCCATTCTTTATGGAAGAATTTCATTTCTTTTTCTACTCTTTCTCATCTTAATTTTACTACCACTGGCCACTGACCAGACATTTTCTGTGCCTTATCTATGAAGTTCTTCAGAAGTAGCATCAGTGAGTGAACACTCTTGCTTCTGTAATGGATGCATTTTTTTAAGTGATGTTCCTTCCACTTAGGCATAAATACGACAGTAAAGCCTCAAGTAATATATTAGGAATGGGTAGTAAAATTGAGTTAACTCTTCAAGAAAATTATTTCAAAGTTTAAAATTTGTTACATTGACTTGAATTTATCTTTGATCCCCCTTCCAAGAGGCCACTCATGAGATTTGAAAGTAAAATTGATCATCTCTAAAAGCTGCAAATTTCCTTTGCATGTTGGGCAACCATACATTTGATACAGCTACACATTAATACATTTATACACATTAATACAGCTACACATTAATACATTTAATGTAGCTACAAATGAGCTAATGGGCTGTAAAATAGTAGTCAGCACCTGAGGTGGATCAATTAAGTAGATAACTTGCCTTCAGTGTGGCTTTGCTAATTTGTGCTTCAGAATCTCGTCCATTATTTTCCACTTCTTTTGTAGCATTTATGCAACATAAGAATGTTTTGTCTGGGAGACCAGAATTTCTTTAAATGCAGACTACATATTATTGAGCTATATAGATAAATCTATAGCCTGCTACATAAATCAAAGCTTAATTTTTATACATGTTATCAATTTAACATTTCCTTATTTAGTTAAATACTACATACCTAGAATTTTCAGATATAAAGAAAACAACATGTCAGAAGGAAAAAACTATACATTTTCTCACTAATTTCTCACCTCTTGCTGTCCTTCTGGGTGATACTTCCCCTTGGAACAGGGACACAGTAATTTGCTTTTCTCATTTTCCCCTTTATATACCCACCATCTGGCAGCAGCGCTCCAGCAGTTGTTTGCCCTGGAAGAGTTCCTTGGCCTTTTGGAGTGCTAACATAGATTTAGCTCAAAAGCCGATGCGATGACCAGCACATAATGCCCTTTTATAGATTGCAAATATGGACAAGGTAAACAGGAAAGTACAAAGGTTAGCATTAAAAAAAAAGAAAAAAAAAGGGAAAAAAAAGGAAAAAAAGAAAAAAAGCAACCCTCCCTTCCCAAATGCAACTGCCCTCCCGAATTTATCAACGATTCCTGTTGTTATTAATTCTTAGTTTAATTTGTACAACAGTGTCATTGATTCCTCAGCGGGAATTAGGAATTCCTTAGCAGGAATTAGATTAGGACTTAAATAGAGATATTAACATGCCATAATTCAGTCTAACTAGCTTGATTTTGACTATAGATATGGCAGCTTTCCCTGCGTTACATGCTAAATTTATCCTGGCTCCTGGAAGAGAGTTCATGTCTCTCGATTCCCGCATCTTGGCACTTAGATCAAAAGATCCCTTTTAAATGTGCTGCTGTGTGCGCTGGCTGAAGCACCTGCCTTGAATGTGACCTCCAATAGGTGTCACAAACACTAAAAGAAACTTCGTGTGCCATCGATTCCTGCTTGGATTTCATGCGAGGTCGACTTTCTGCAAAGAGGGTTCCGCATCTCAACACAAATGATCATATAAAGCAGACTTAGTGAGTAAAAATAGTTGTACTTCCATAGATAAATCTCACTGACATTCTCCAGTGAGCAATGCCACTGACTACCTTCAGGTCATGTGGATGCATAAGGAACAAAACATCTGCCGTTTTTGTGTTGGAGAGAGAACAGTACTTTGTCAGAGAGTACTATGGGGTCAGCAATTTGAGACCTTTTTTTCTTGGAGAAAAAATGGCATAATAGAAATGGTGTATGAACCTCACTGAGCAAACTCACCGAGTTTGATATTAAAACAATCTCTATAAGCACTGATTCCTATTCTAGCTCTAGTATGTGCCTCAAGGCAAGAGTGCTGCTAGCCTAAAAAAAGCCTTTTCCAATGAGTTGGAACTGTGGGCTTTTTAATTTCTCAGAATGAGCTTATTTAAGACAAGTTTAAAGGAGCATGAAGTAATCATAGGAGAAACTGAAGTAAATGTAAAACTAATTACCTAGGCCTTCACCTCATTTGCCTTGATTTCCTATTGGTTGATATTAATGGAGCCGCTTGCTGATTTATAATGTAAAGGATCTGTGCATACTACTTGGTACTTGGACCTATGTACTCATACAAAATACTGTGTAATATAAATGTTCACTTTTAATAGTGGGGTGAGAGGATAGGCTTGTCAGCATGGTAAAAAGAGCAGAACTCTGCCTTATTGCTTGGTTTGCATAAAATACATGCACGTTTGCAAAGGTGTAAGCACACCAGAAAGTATCTTGTAATGCCTCTGTTTATGGAATTGGCATACAAATTATATTAAGCTATAGGAAACTCTGATCTTTTTCAAGCTTTGAATATGAGCCAAATGGGACTACTTGCCCGGAGATTAGGCAGAGTTCCTAGCAGCAGGAAGGAAAAATGTCATATGTTTGTGATTTCTCAGACTTGGCTTTGGTTAGGAATATATGTAAGCAGGCTCAGCCTAGGAACTGTTAGGGATTTTAGCTATATATCATTCTCAGCAGAGAAAAGAATCTTAATTCTTTTTTCTTAAATTATTCACCAGGTAGCTATTTGGTGTGATGTCCTATACTGAGAAATGGGTTAAGGGAAGTTTCTTATCTCTTCCCATACTGGCCATTTTTCTTAATCTGTTAAAACAGAAATTATTTTCAAGTACTCTTTGATGTTGTACCTTACTTATATTTAATTTCAACCTGAATATCAGTGCCCAGTATCTCCTAATAATTTTTCACACTTTTTAAATAGACTTAAAACATGCACAGTGTTAAGATATGACCACAGAATAACCATAATATTCAGGCACCACAACATTAAGTTATTATTATTATATTATCATCTGATGATCTGTTGGATCATGAATTGTGATATAAGTAAAAGTATGTATCTATTACAAAAACACGGGAACTGCAATACCAGGACTCAAAAGCCATCTGGCTTTTTGAGTAGCTTTCTTCTGGCGGGTGTCAATAGCAGATAATTAGAGGAAGAAAAAGACAAAGAAAAGCAAGCAGCACTCGCTGGTGTAATGTTATAACTTCCCAGCTCCTGGCAATTGGGTTAGTAACTGTGTCAAGTGACATCTCTCTCAACACAGTGATTCCTTTTTTTTTGAGTCAGACGTACTTAACGACTGAAGTAAGCTTTAATGTAAGTAAGCTGTGGTTAGGGGAAGAACGGTTTGCACTTCCAAGCAGTGGCGCTTGCCAGCTCTGTTTCCCTCTGGGATGTCCTTAGAGCATGAGGACAGCAGCAGGGCTGCAGGGAGATGGAGTTTCAGGAGCATAAAAGGTTTTGGCCTATTGTAGTCTTATTATAGACATGATGTGTGTTTTGAAATTAATCTGTTTGTTCCGTGGGTCTGAATGCGAGCCTGCAGACTCAGAAGTTGGAAGTGTTTTTCTTGTTAACCTTAACAAAAAAGTATAATGAGAAGCACAGGCCATTATCTAATCTAGTGTCGTTCCTGAAGCTTTTTTGCAGAACTGCATTTAAAGTTGCACGACTACCATATTATTTGCTGACCAGTTAGGTATATATAATTGACTTATTTTTTGTTAGATTTCAGAGCCATGAGATTGTGTCTCTGCTGACTGAATCATGTCACAAGTCAAGCTGAATGCCAGAGGAGACACTGCATGTGGGCTCAGTCTGGCACTCCCAAACCTGGAAAAAATTTGAGGTCAAATATTGACAGTACTCAATTTAAGATGTAATTTAGTTCTGTTCACTTCAGTGGGTTCAAGATTTCTCCTATTATTTGGTCTGAGGAAGGAATACATCATGGCAAGTAAGACTTATTTGATTTCTTTTTAGTACACAAATGTTTCTGTGCTAGTTCTCCAAATAGATACAGGAATGACAAAAAGATCAGTAATTTTATATAACCAAAGAATGAATCAGTGGAAAGAAAAGTGGAGACTGTAATGAACTAGTAGATTTAAAAAGCAATCACAACCCAAACAACAAAATTATCAATGTAGGAAATGTTATTTTAAGCTCCATGTTGGGGTTTTCAAAATTAAAAGGGGCAAAAAGCTGCATTTTAAACTTATTACTAGGTTGAAAGCATCTCTGGAAAACTAAGTACCTCCTTTACCCTAGCCTTTCATTTCCCTTTCATGATCTTGCTAAAATGTTACTATTTGCTCCTTTGAATGTTTTTTTCCCCTTTCTTTTTCTTTTTGATGTAAGAATGGGCTTTGGTTTTGCTGGCTACTGGCTGTATGGTGTAATGTGTGTCCCACAAGTGACAAAGAAAATCCAGGTCCAGCTCAGCCTATAGTTCAGAATTAACCACCCACAATGTTGTCCTTGATGCAGACCGTTAACGTTTTATTCCTACAACTATTCCCCTCTCTCTGTTCCATCAGTCAAAAACTGTCTTCTTTTCCGTGTCCCTCTGCATTTTGCCTCCTCTTTTTTTCACTCCTCTCTCCGTACAGACAGACGACGTCTCTTGGAGTGTCCTGATGACAGCCGCCCCTGCACACCGGCTGCATTTCCATGGCTCGCTCTCTTGCATGTGCCAAAGAAACCATAACAAGTTTGGACCTGATGGTAATCCCCCTGGCCAGCATCCCTGCACTCCCCACGCACTTCCCTTTCTGATCCCACCTTTTCAGGCACAGTTTTCCCAGTTTTCCTGGGCAGGCTCCATCCTGCCCGGGAACTGCGGCTGTCCCGCGTGCTCTCCACACTCCCATCTGCTCAGGCTGGAGCTGGATCTGACACTGCAGCTGCTTTCTCACTCACTTTCTCAATTTTAGGCTCTCTAGAGCTTTTTGATTTGGGGCACTATAGAGGTGCACAGATATTGTATATTTACATATATAATTAATACTGTTAATTAATATAAATTAATCTAAGAGCAAGAGCTCAATTGCAGCAATTACTGTACAACTAAGTCTGTCCTGATGGTGAAGGCAGCTTATTTCCCGGTCTCTTTCTGTCTATTTAAAGCCATGATGTGTTGATGAGCTTTTGCTGCTAAGATCTCCTGTTAACTTTAGCTATTTTACTATGTTCTCTCTAAATCTCACAGCTTTATTTTTATCTCCTAATGTGTATTTGCATATCTACACTTACAAAGTTGTAACTTCAACATACAGCATCGCTACCAACAAGGATAGATGTCCTTAAGATTGTATAAAGGCAAATAATAATGGAAATGGAAATCATATCCAGTTGTGACAGGACTTTGGTTGTATGTGGATCTAACAATTGCCATACTGAACCAAGCTCACAACAGGTTTACTTAATTACTTGTCCCTGAGTGTGACTAAGAGTGATAGTTTGAGGCAAGATGGAGAATATTTATAATATTCTCTTATGAAAAAAAACTGCTCATAAGATATATTTCTTCCTAATCCTCCTTAATTGTGATCATCTTGTGCCCTGAAACACGAGTGCTTACATCCTTCCTACAAAAATGATCCTAATGTAAATATAATTTTATTATTACACAAATGTCTAATGCAGACCCTTTCAAACAGCATATCCCTCTAGATTCACACTATGTGTAGATTTTGTGTAGACTGTGTCAAAGTCCCAGACCTATAACTTCTCCTGAATTCTTTTGGAAAACAATCTGTATTTCTTACCATTTTCCTGGATTTTGGGTGCAGGTAGGGGCAGCTGCAGCAGCTGCAGCTCTGAGCCACGCGGGCAGAGCCTGGCAGAGCTGGCGCTGGCCCATTGCTTTTTGCTGAGCGTAATGATGCATCCTTCTGTAAAAGTTAATTGATTAGTCTGGGTCAAACCTTTTCCTAACAAATCTCTCCCTCTTCATTTCATATAACTAACCTTTACCTTTAATTTTTAATTTTCCTCATAACTGCCATTCTTTAGTTGTATCACACTAGTTCTCAAGTGAATCTTTAAAAATAAAGACTGCTGCCATTGAGGTGAAATTAAGGAAGTAGCCTGGAGGCACTGTTACCATATGCATCCTATGTAATTACTTCTCATTACTGGGATCCTGCTCAGTTACAGGACAACATATCCCAGAGACCTGACAGCAGATTGCCAATTGCCAGACATTAGTACAGCACTGTAGAGACCAAAACTTCACTGTGAAACCCGCCAGAACTGGGTCACTTACAGAAGGTGCGTGACAGCTCAACACGCAGAACAGCTAAAGCTATTTCACCCATCTCATATAGAGTAGAAAATACTGAGAGTGAAGATTAGGTGAACAGCATAAACAGAATGAAAAATGACAAGCCTTAGTAATATATTTATTTGGTGGCATTAGCTATGCAGTTCTGCCTTGGAAACAGTGATGCAGGTGATCAGTTGGGTTTTGTGCTGTGCTGTTTTTTTCTTTTTTTAATATCGGAATGCACCTTAATGCACCTTCAAGTGATCAGCTACATTATTTGATTTTGCAGAGCTAATTCTCTTGCTCTGCAACATCCTAACATCAAGCATTTAACTTTTTCTATCATGTTGGCAATGAAGAGTTCTTTAACATCACACTTTCAAGTCATATATTTCTATTTCAGCTCCAAGAATTATTATTGTAGCAGTGTGCTCAGCAGTCATAAAGAGGCTCCAGATGGATTTATGTCCTTTCAGAAAATTTTACGGAATAAGCTGGACTAGATTCTGTGGTCTGCTTTACCAAAATCCTTTAAAAAAAAAAAAAGCTAGAGAAGGACATAGGGGATTTTTTTTTCCTCAATAGCACTATTCCAGCTACTATATCCAGCTATCTGAATCAGAAGTGCATGCTGTTATGTTTTTTAAACAGAGATAAATGAAAGTGGAAGCCAAAGAAAGGAAATACTGGAACTGCAAAAAGAACACAATTAAATGAGTATTGGCTAACTATCAATGTGAGCCACAAAAGCTCTCCGGAGTTCCATGCTTTCCCTCTGTAGCAGATAACATGAAAAATAAGACTCTCTATGCGCCTTTATTAATTGCCCTTTCTGTCTTTTTTAGATGTGATGGAATATCCCTGGAAACAAACACTTTGAGCCTAGGTGTTGCATCACACCATGCTCTATCTCATTCATCCGTATACTCCTTTTCTCTGGCAAGCTGTTCACACTTGGCCACTTTTATTGAAAGCTGCAAAACAAATGTGCAGAAACCTACTTCCTATGGTGTGGAGAAATGTCAGTAAGGTTGGTTTGCACATTCAGGCCATATTCAGTGAACAGTTTAAGAGAGTGAGGAAAATAAAAAATATTTCATACTCTTTCAAACTGAAACCTTACTGTCTTGTTGCTTCAAAAATGTTTGAACGACATCTTGAGTTCAAAATACTGAACAGGGACTAAAGAGAGAAGGAAATAACCCAAGAGCAAACTGGAATATAACCTTTCCATATGTAAGGTGTCCTATAAAATCCCAAAAGGCTTTTTGGTTCAGGCTGAACCAAAAGATTTTAAAGTTGTTTTGCATTAAATCCTGAAACACAATGCAATTATCTTCAATTCTATCTAAAACCAAAAACTGAAGATTTATTGTTAATATGTTTCAGACTTAGGTAGTATTCTGCAAATTCCCATTAACATTTTGATTTTTCTTCCTCTATTCATGTCTTTTTTGGCACTTGAAGTGAACAGGTGTGAGCCAGCGCAAGGTGGCCCACAGGCCACAGCCAACAAATAACTAATTGGCATCTATGTTGCAATGGGGCAAAGATCCAACTGAATTATGAGGAGGCGCCGTGCCATCCTAATAGGCTAACATTATCACAGATGCCAAGATTCCATAAATTTGCATCATTTACATTTACTTAGGGCAGGTTTCCCAAGCGGGAAATTCCACACAATTGTCCATCATATACAATTATGATTAAAAAGGATCTCTGTGACTAATCCAGCTTGCCAGGGTAGTTTTCAGTGAGAATGTAAACATTCTCAGCAATTATTTTAAAATGTCCCACTCATTCGCATCAATAAATTGTTTAAAAGTACATTATTGTCTTTGCTTCTATAAAAGGTATAAATAATGTATAAAATCAAGCTTTCTGGTTGAACATGTATGAACTTTTTCAGCTTGGTAAACAGGGCTTTTTTTTTTTTTCTGCAGCATTAGCAAGGTTACTGACTACCTATAATAAAAGAGAAAAATGGACAACCTCAAAGTTCCTTTTGTGAAAAATGAGTGCAGAAACTGGTAACTTATACCCTCAGGAAATAATTTGCAAGGACAAAAATGCAGCGAGGGCGTGAGTTACTGAGATGAAACACAAGATGATGATCTACGCTGCGATTACTGCTGGAGGTGATGAATCTCCAGGCTTGTCTTTGCTGCTGAGGAGATGACGAACCACATCTTAATCTGCTTCTGATCCGGCCTGGCCCTAAATAAAACGACGTGCGGTAGCTGCTGATTGAGCAGCGGATACCTGCCAGTGAGAACGTTCCCGTGTGCTACATGGCTTCCGCAAGGGACCGGGCTCGGCCCGGAGAAGCCCCAGCCACACGAGCACGGCTGCGCTGCTCGGGCTTGGCTTCCACTCCATCACGCTGGAGCCGGGAAGCAACATCGTGCGGTGTTTTTACAGACGCTGCCACGGGAAAGGCCCTTGCGCGTTCTCACAGTCAGCGAGAGCTCTGACCCTGCGGGAGCGGTCGCCATGACGGGGCAGACCCCGCGACGCCCCTCGGCCAGCCGCGCGCGCCATCTTCCCCACGCCCCCTCCCGCCTCGCACCTCCGCGGCGCCCCGCGTGCCAAGCCTC